GGGTGGGGGTGGATAGTATGAGGTTTGTTATGGAAGATGCGTAAATAGGATTATGAGGACGTGAATTTGTTATTTATTCGAAATGAAGAGGGGATTAGCTGCTGTAGTAGTTATTGTAGCATGGTTTCAGCTACTAAAGCTTTTTTTTTTCTTTGGCAGTTATATAGTGCCGTTTGTTCACTTTTAAGTAGTAGTGTTCCTTGTGTAGGCACTTAAGCTTTGTTAGTTTTTCTTTTCCTATTTTCTTCAGCCGTTCTCCTTTCGCTTGTGAGGGAATCCTTAGTTGAAATTGTTGCACCCATTCCATTTTAGCACTTAATTATTATTATTATTATCATTTTTATGAAGATTCCATTTTACTATTTTTCCATTATCTTTAATTTTTGTCAGTAACACATTTCGAAACATGTACGTTTGGGCTATGTTTTCTAGCTTCTTGTTTGATCCATTTCTTTTTTCCCATTTAAATTACTCTTTTTAAGGAAAAAAAATTGTCATCTTACTGAAAATTGCACAAATAAAGAAAAACTTATCCACAAATTGTTATTTTATGTCACTGCTATGGCCAAGTTATTTCAGAGCGTATGCTAAGTAACAAAGGTTTATAAATTTAGCAAAATTGATACATTACAATTTTAGTCTCCCAAATATATAAATCTGTTCATTCCTTGATGACCACCCTAAAACACCAAAACCACCATACGTGAATCTTTGCACTGCCATTTTGTGACAAAACTTCATAATTAGTTCTATAATTATGTTTGTTTTGATTCAATTATCATATTATATAAGCTATGCATAACAACTCTATTATGTTGATTCTCTTATCATGTTTATATACAAGCAGGTATCATCAAAGGAACCATGACAACTACTCACTCCTACACTGGTGACCAGAGGTTGCTGGATGCCAGCCACCGCGACCTCCGTCGTGCTCGTGCCGCCGCCCTTAACATCGTCCCAACTTCCACTGGTGCTGCTAAAGCCGTGGCCCTCGTGCTCCCCACCCTGAAAGGCAAACTAAATGGGATAGCCCTTCGAGTACCCACCCCAAACGTCTCTGTCGTTGACCTTGTCGTTCAGGTTAGTAAAAAGACATTTGCCGAGGAGGTCAATGCCGCTTTCAGGGACATTGCGGAGAAGGAGCTGAAGGGCATCCTCTCTGTTTGCGACGAACCGCTTGTGTCCGTCGACTTCCGGTGCTCCGACGTGTCGTCGACCGTTGATGCTTCTTTAACTATGGTGATGGGTGATGATATGGTCAAAGTGATTGCGTGGTATGATAATGAATGGGGTTATTCACAGAGGGTTGTAGATTTGGCTCATATTGTTGCTGACAAGTGGAAGTAGTAGTCTTAGGCGTTAAAATGTAAATTTTTTCCTTGTTTTTGGTTTTTGTTCTTCTCTTGGAAGTTTTTTTTTTTTCTTTTTGTTTTCCGCAGTACTGAGAATTGTAATGAGGTATTGGATCTTTTTGGGTTTTATATGGAGTGTAAAACCTCTATTTGATTTACATTAAGGAGACGTTTGTGTCTCTTCGTTATATTATTGATGGTTGGGGAAATTTACATGCATACCACACAATTCTTATGTATTTACATATCTCAAAGCTGAAGTTTGATATTTGCATTTATAACCCTTTTGTATTAAAAATCACTTTTAAAATATTTTTTGATGGTGCTATTGTAGATGTGATGCAAAAAATTGAGGGTTGTGCTTGTAAATATGACAATTTGTATTAAATATTTGGATGTATTAGAAATATAGAATTGTGTGGTATGTAAATGCACTTATGTTTTTGGCATTCTACAATCTATTTTATACAGTATTGAATAACATTTAATATCAATTATGTTTATTTTATGTTATGTTACGCATAAATAATGTATAACTGGAATTTTTTCCCTGATTTTTATTTTCTATATTTTATTGTTATATGTATAACTCTTCTATAGGTAAAAAATAAAATGTAGGTAATGAGAAAATACATTTTCCTCGAATTTTATTTATTACCAATAGATTCCCTTCGCATTTCATATTCAACGGAACTTACTTTTTCAAAATTTGTTGTTCGATGTGGAGCCTTTATTGCGTGCAGACATTAGACATAAATTTGCATTCGGTGTCCAATCAAGATAACTGAAATACACCTTTTTGGTATTTTTTGCTTTTAAAGTTCGTCTCAATCAAAATTTTTTGGCGGTTCAGATCGGACACCGGACGTATATTTATTTGGTGTGAGCCTCTTGCCCAATTGTTGCAATTGTATGTTCGCTCAATAATGACATCCTATATTAGTTTGGAACAACCTACATTAATCAAATTTATTATTTTTTTCTTATACTATAAATAAAACAACATAAAAAATCTTCATAATGTATCTCGAGAAGTAGCCGTTAGTGCTCTTATGAATGTTGGCTTTGATTCCCTCTCCCTCCTTTCATCTAAATTATCACATTATGATGAAGGGCATATGAAAATCTCTTGGTATTCATTGTTGAACATTTTTTAATCATATTGTTATTTGTTTAACATGACTCTTTATTTAATATAATCACTATCAACCCAAACATATAATAGGGCGTAAAAAAAATCAAAACTCAAGTCACAAAATCTTTAATATAATCACTATCAACCCAAACATTTATTTCAATTTTAATAAATTTATAGTTATATGTTCTGATAAGATAACACTACAGAAATTTAACATATTTACATTGGCTATATTGATGCAAGTTGAACGCAAATCTGACGATATTTAACGGTTTGCATCGAATTTATATTTGATTTTTTTTTACGTTAAATTGAGGGTATGTAATTTTATTTTCGTCTAATTTACATTAAAATATCCCGACACAAATAATTTTCATCAGTTGTTGTGTCGTATTTGCATCGAATTTGTTTATACGTAACATGCGTAAAAATATTCGATGATGACTCTCAACCTCGGATTACCATCTCATTTGCGTCGGAAAATATCTTAGAACAATGAAAAATTGTTGTAGATACAACTTCAGATGAATATCAATTATATTTTCACAACCTGCATAAAAATATATTCCACATAACATACCACATTAAGCACAGTCGTATCACAAATCAAATCTCTAAACAATATCATTATTAAAAGAAAAGATGTTGTCACAAATCATCTCAAATATGAGTACTAAAGGTAGTCCAAAAAATTCTACAACAAATTTTTAGCATAATGCTTACAAATAAATGGAAAAAAAAAACTACCCATCAACTCTTTCATCATTCTCTTCTTACACGGATGTCATCAGTTGTTTGCCCCGACTATCTGCTAAGGCCTCCATCGTGGACACTATAAAGTCCTCCACACGATATTGTTCATCTAGAGTCTGCTTGTGCAACTGGGGGATCTCTTTATTCATTGCAGCCACCTGTCTAGCAAGAGCCTCCTGGTTCGACTGTGAGGAGCTCGACTAACTAGGAACGAACCATGGGAGAGCTCAGCCTTGAAGGCTATGCCCTTCACTCCAAGGTCATAAATCCTCCCCATTTATCCTCTCTGTAGCCTGGGTCCAATGCTCATACTCAAACTATGCAGTGGTAGACTAACTACCATTAATGCTGGCATCAATTTGAGCCTAAGTAGCCAAGCACTTCTCCCAGAGTTGCCCGAACACTTCCTACATAATGAAACTATAGTTTGATTGACACTTTCAATAGTTAAAAAAAAAAAAAAAAAACTTTTACTTTAAGGTTTCTAACTTACATCAACCCGTTTGGAATACTCCGAGACTCACTGCGAAATCCCGGGCGTTGATGAGTTTGAACATGCAGCTCCACAATGAAGGGAGCATAGCTCAACTTCTTGTCCTATATAACATACAAAAAGGTTAGCGCTAAATAATTACTCCAAAAATTGAATTAATATTTAAATATCTAAGAAAAGCTTATCAGCCTCCTATAGTGTTTTTAATGGGGATTGATATGCCAATATGAAGTGCAACTCCCTTGGCCCCCTCCGTCACTTGGTTCACCAGATTTGTCTGCCTCCTCCTCTCATAATCAAGAGAGGTCCAAGCTACCGTTAACTGACCCCAGAGCTCCTCACCAATCCAGGAAGCTTGCTTGCCCCTCTGGTGGGCTGTCATGATCATATCAGTAAGGTAAAAAATAATCCGTGTGTTTATTATAAAAATTAATCAAATTTATAAATTTGATTCAAATTACATGATCGTACCTCAAATTCCATGAACCATATTTATTGAGTGGTTACAGGTACCTGCTTCCACGACAGATAGACAAGTAGCAACTATGTCTAAAAACAGGTATCTGATTCATTTGATCAAGATTGGCAGCTTGTGGGGAATGAATCTGCTTAAGAAACAAATTAGTTACCAAAAATATATAGCATGAAGAATGAACATAATACACTGCTAAAAATAATTTATGAGTCCACTAATGGCAATAAGTGTACCCTCGGTGTGGAAGCAGCATACATCATAGGAGAGGGCAGAATCAGACGCTGAAGCAGGTGCCAAAGGATGGTGGTAGCAACGGTACGGGAGGAGGTGACAGAAGAGAAGTAGCAGTAGCCGGTAGGGGAGGAGGTGCCACAGGAGGTGTAGCAGCAGCAGGTGGAGAGGTGCTGCCGAAGGAGGTGCAACAATATCAAAAGCATTAGCAGGAGTAGATTACTTCCTCTTCCTGGTATGGTAGGTCATCTTAAGAGTCCCCAAAACATGGGGTCTATGAGTGGCTGAGCACCTGCACCACCTAAGGCCATCTGCAAACAAAGTAATGACATTAAGAAAATAGTACTAATAAAATAAATAATTATAAGCATAATGAAACAATGCAGTAAAGGTAAAACTCAAATAACAACTACATCATAATGATCACTTACTAGCATGCATATGAAGTTGCAATGGGACTGTACGAGGTGAAGCCATTTGCACATAACTAAAGCCAAACATTGTCTACTTCAGCTGCAAAATCTGGATAAGTACTATCAAAATGTCTCCAGGCCTCACCATGTGACAGATAACTCATCGAGTTACCATCGACAGATCCAGTACTATGCCAAGTCATGTGAGGGGCTATACACATGGAAGCAAACAATCTCTAAAGTCTAGGTATGAACGAAAATAAAATAAACTCTTGTATGGAGTATTTTTTTATTTTTTTCTTTCTCCCCTTTGCTTGAATCTATTTGCACCATAAAATTGACAAGTTTTCTAGACTGCATCGGCCTCATAAAATATCATGCACCCATTAAGACATCAATTGATCTTCTTACATCGTAACCCTAACTTTCAAACCAAGTTTTTTTGTTTTCTACAGGTCATCCATCACTAAATTCTCTGTCTACCTGAATGAAAGCTTCTATAAGCATGTTTAAATCAGATTTAATGGTCAAAATTCTCAGCGCCATTGATAACTCTGTATGTGCGGTGCAACCATCCATAAAGATTTTTGTGAAACATTTAGTAAGTCGTAGATATGTTGTGATTCATTTTTCATTGTTTCAGCTTTGTGTTAACGCACTTAACAAATTGAGCTCTCTGAAAATCATGAACCATTTTTTCATAAGTGTCAGGATCAAATTCTTTTGCATTGGGGACATAACTTATTGAGGGACCACCTTGATCAAATTGAACTTCAACTTCTTGAGAACCCCTTATGATAAAGATCCAACTTAACTTCATTGGGTGTCAGAAGTGCCTAAATTTGGTGCTTCGCACAAGGAAACCAGAACTTACCCTCAGAACGATAGATGGACAATTATGATGCCACCTACATGAATTCCTCAAAGTCATTCAAGAACTCACGTGTGAGTCTTTTTTGTCCTATATATAATCTATTATACATCTAAAGTCTCAAATTACTGATATCTATCTGAAGTATAAATGATGTTTTATAGGTCAGTGCAATTACTTCACAAATAAAAATTAGTTAATACTTACAGTAAGAAGTCGACACTACTTACCGCAAGCAACCAACTTGAATTCTACTAATAACAAATCCATCTATATAATCATCACTTTGAACAAGACCTGATGTGCTCCTCTACTTCAACTAACCAACATTAATTCAACCGATAACATCCTTATCTATATTGCCCTCACTTCAAACATTTGACCGATCGATGCATTCCTCCAATTCAACCAACCAACTTTAATTCTATTAATAACATCCCCATCTATATCACCATCATTTTCAATAATAGACCCGATCGTGGCATTTCTTCACTTCAACTAACCGACGTGATATCTAATAATAACATCCTCATGGCCCGATGCATATATTGCTTCACTTCACCAACCAACTTGAATTCTACTAATTGGTAAATACATACCACTCAATACTTATGTATTTACATAGCTAATCCCTACACTTCAACTTTTATAAATATTTTATACATACCACTCAATACTTATGTATATACATAGCTAACACCTAATTTTCATTTTTTATGAAAATATTCATACATACCACTCAATGCTTAAGTATACACAAACCTAACACCTAAGCTTCAACTTTTACATACATACCCACATACCTAGCACCTAA